CAAAGCAGTAGAAAACCTTTTGAATTGTTTAAGTTCCAACTATACGTAACTGTAGAAATGACCTTTAAAAATACCTTTAAGCTAATTTACTCTGTGTTAGCTATGGTATGGGATTCCAGTCTGTCAGATTTCTTTTACAAGTTTTTACTTTGTTTTGAGAAGTTCCATACCTGTTCATAATCTTATTAACACCTGTGTAAAATTTTTGCATCACTGGAGTAGTCAGATATAAATTTAAGCTAAAGTCTTCTCAAGAATTGCATCAGAAATTAGGATATCGGTTTCCCCTTTTTTATTAAAAATCATTAGAGTGATCCTGGAGATTGAGAAAAACTTTTTCATTTCTACATTGTGATTTGGAGTTGTGTTGTATTACTTCTGTCTTGGTAGGGGTTGGAGACCCAAGTAACTGTGACTTCTAATCCCTTCTACCTTTTTTTACTGACTTTAGGAGGTTATTGGTGTTTTATCCCCTTTTAATTTTCTTTTGAAAGTCTCTGGCAATCAAGAAGGTGACTTGGATCTGTAGGAAATTCTTTGGAACTGGGTCATTTCTTCCAGAATAGTTCATAGATTTGATGTAACTTAGGAGAGGTTTTATTTTAATTCTAACTTCCGTTACAGACACTTCAGGAAGCAGTGGCTTTGGTGAGAAAATGAGACTGTTGGATGACGAATACTGCAATTAAAGAGATTGTTTCCTATATGTGATTTACACTTCACAGATTTTTTACATCTGAATATGTAATGGTTTTGAGATTTACTCCATCACACCCCAAAACAATACTTAAATGAAATTAAAATGAAGAATAAATTAAGCTATAGCTTGGTAATCTACTTGGTGTACCTCCATACTGTGGACTGCAATTTGGCACTGAGATACCTGAATTAGCTTTGAAATAACTGGCTCCATTAACAACAATAATCATGGTATATTTGAACTCAAACATAGTCTTGATGAAGAAGCAGCAATGTTAAGTTGTACCGTAGGTCGATACTTCTTCATGACCTCCTTCTCATCCAAAAAAACCCTGGATCAAACTAAACATTGGCTGGCAGGATAATAGGCAGCGTTTTCTGTCAATAAACTGTGCTAGCTATATCTGCATGATATCCATACAAGGTAGTTTTTGTATATGGCTTTAGAAATAAGGGATTTAGGTGTTAAAGGTTGAGAAACAAATGAGTGAGTCCTGTCTTCTATGGTACATACAGAGAATTTCCTGAATAGGTGACTCCTCTGGAGTGACTTTATTGTGTGGTACATGCATCGGGGAGAAAAGCAAGTCATGTGGCATCATTTGCTGCAGACTCAAAATACAGGTGCAGGTTTTTTGACATCTGATACATTCCAGATATGTCATAACATTTTGAAGTTGGGGGGTTATCTGTTGATTGATCAGCCTACTGTGCGTTTGGGTTAGGCAGTATAATTGGGTGAATTTAATCCTTAAACAACTATTTACTGTTAGATTTCTGATTATTTTTATCATAAAACTTCTTATTTGCTACTTTTAATCAATATTTTAGTGATTAAACTTAAAACAAAATTAATGAGTGTATGAAATGTATGCTGTGAAATTTTATAGCATATTTTTGATAAAAAGATACCTGCCTTTTTATGCTGGTATTTAAATTCTGATTTACGAGACAGTTCCCATGAGACAGTATCACGGACATTTTACAAAGGTACTGAAATATGAATTACTGAAATGTGAATTACTCAAGTTTTAAAAATCATATTCTTTCTCCAGTGTTACAAAGATTGGATTGCTAAAGGTGTTTTTAGAGAACAGTTGATAATTGAAAAAATGATGCAAAGATATTTTTATATAAAAATTTACCATGCTAATTAAAACAGTATATCTCATTAGGCTAAATAATTACTTTCTTAATACATTTTAAAGATTTCTTATTTCTTTGACACACTAATAAATGACAATTGTCTAGCTTGTTAATGCTAGTTAGAATACTTCTTAATTTTTGATCAGAGAAAGGAAAATTGAAACATTTCAATTGAAACAAAATTTGGTTTTAATCCTCTAATTTTTTGTTTTCAGTGAAAACTGCCAAAAATTGTGATTAGCTCAGTTCTAACTTCCCTATTCCTTCATTCCCTTCCATCATGTAAGTCATGAACTGATGACTCTGTGGAGTTTCTGTCATTAGACCTGTCATTATGATTGACATGGAAGGGCAGTGACCAAGGGAGGCTGATGTTATCACTGTCTTAGAGGACTCCAGAGCAGAATCATAAATGAAACTGCTTCAAGGAAAGTGCACTATGATGAGGCTCACTTCACCATAAACAGTAGTAAATAAAAACCCTGGAAGGCACTAATGGGACAGATTTAAACTCTAACATAAAAAGAAAGAGGATGATGCACCTTAAGCTATCACCTCTTGCCCTTAATTAATTGTGCAGAATCCTCTCTGAGATAATCTTGCACACACAAACCCATTCTTGGGGAGAGTGGAGTTAGCTGTCTAGCTCATATACCAACCTTTTCTGGAGTAAGGAATGACTGTGCAATGAGCAAAAATATCCAAGCACCCCAAGCTGATACTGTCTCCTGTGCTATGCTTCCTGCAACGAGCTTTGCTGCATCCCACCTGCTCAGTCATAAAGATTATTTCTTTGCTGCGGCTAAGGTTGTGGCCTAGAAGCGTGCCTATCTCTGGCTAGGCAAGCAGGGGGGAGTGAAGACAATATTTTATACTTGGATGAAGGCAGAGAAACAGTTAAAAAAGAAGGACCTTTTCTGAAGACAGTATCCAATCTCAACAATACCTTGGAGTGTGGGTGTTCATCTGTCAGGAGGATTAACGATGAATTTAAGTTTTTCATCAAAAGGCTATTCTTGCAGAGTTCTGGATGGCTCTGTCATCTGTAGCTATCATCAGTCTTTAAAAGAAAATTTTGTTAAAGATAACTACTTCACAAGCTTGAGGATTTGGTTCAAGCAGCTACTATTGACTGCCTAGCTCTGAGCTTCCAAAAAAATAACTATTTCAGTTAAAATAGCTGCATAAAATATTTTGAAACTTGTGTGGAGAAAAAAAAACCCACAACAACAGCACAATTCCTTTAACCGTGACTGCTGTTTTCAGAGTTGAAAATGTGGAGGGATGCTTTACAAGAGAATATATTGTGGCATTTGTTTTAAAATGTTACAGTCTCGTGATTCCATTGTAGAATGATGAAGCTACAATTATAAGAAAAAATTATGTATGTGGAAGAAGTGTGTTAATCTTTGTTTTTTACAGTGGGTACAATAGGAAGAAGAACTATTTATGACAGTGTGACAAGGAAAGGGAAGCTGAAAAGATTTATACAAACTATCATGTAAAACTTTCTTATTTAAGATAAGAATATTTTCTTATGAAGATTGAAGGATGTTATGGCTTATGACATTGAAATACAGACCCAGTAGGGTGAATAGAAAATTCCTACTGTTTCCTAAAGTCAGTGGGTTTTGTATCCATATGTGGGTTAAATGCTTTATTCTGTCATTATTATACTGTTAGAGTAATATTGTCAAAATAAATGTTGCATTTTGGGAGTCAAAATGTACCCTGTAAATTTCTTATTTGCTGATAATATTAATAATAACAGAGAAAATGGAATTCAATGCATTAGAGACTTCTGAAGAAGAGAACCAAGAACAGATATTCTAGTATTAAACTGGGTGATATTAAAGTCTTTACATAACTATGGTCTTGCATAACCAAGGACATATTTGTTTTTAATGAGTAATCTGATTAATAAGGTGAAAACTGCATGTCAAAATCAATAGAAAAATAAATTCCAGCACATGGAATTTGTTTGTTATATTTCTGTATTCTTTGGCTGTGTAAAGGAGTTTTTTACCTTTAATCTGTGCCAAAAATTTGTAGACATGATCTCCAGTGTCTGCATGGGAATTTGCATTTGGAAATACTGAATTACTGTTATTTAGATAACACAGTCTCACTCTAAGAAACTTAGTCTGAACTTATGAAGAAATAATTGAGCTCCTATCAAGAAATGTGTTTCCTTCCTGGAAATATTTCAGTTTCCTAACCTGAGCATTGGTATCAGAGAGTCAGATACCTGGAAATTACTTCTGCAACTATCAGGAGATTTAAAAAGTCAAGCAACGGTATGTGGATACTTTGTATAAGAGGGACCATTTTGAGCAAACCCCAGCTTAACGCAGTAAAAACTGTGCATACGCAGTATGGTACAATTTCTTTCAAGAAGAGTAGGTTTTAGTATGCTTTTGAAAGAAAGAAACTTGCATTTGCCTTTCAGCTACAAGCCTATTCTTCCATGTCCCTTAAAGAATAAGGATAAACAATTGTGATAAACAATAATTTGTAATCTTTTACTTTAACTTGTCCTAAGCATGCCTCTTACTCACAGGAATGCCTCCTTTTTTGCCAACCTAGCCATAAAACCAATGAATGACAACCTTACTCTAGTTTTCATATTTTGTGTTTGCACTGTGTATTATTTCAACAAAAGCTGATTATAGAAAAGGGAGAGAAAAGCACTTTCATTTCAAATAAACTGTTGGTTTAGAGGAAATAAAGCCTTATGTTGAAAGTGTGTTGGATAATACCCTTTTGGCTAAGAAAAGTGCCTATTACTAAAAAGAAATCTCACAAGACAGAAAATGCACTTAAATTAGCTTGGAAAGTTGTACTAAGCCTTTCACTTTCATATTTTTCTTTTATTCTCTGCAGCATGGCTGCACATGCTTTTAAAAAGAATGCTGTGCAGGGATTAAAACTTTTTTTTTTCTTTTGGTGAAAACATTTTCTTTTTCTTATGTAATGCAAATAGGGCATAATATTGTCAAGTCTTGCTTTTTTCTTCACTCTTCTGCCCCAGTAACCGAAGCTTTAAAAATGCTATCCTCTTTTTTTTTTTTTTTTTTTAATAAGAGATTTCAACCAAGTTTTTCATATCAACCAAGTATTTCTAAGATGTCCCTTTCTTTTCTTTCAAATTTCAGACGTGGGACACAGAACTGGAGAGATCTGCAGAGTCATGGGCTGAAACCTGTCTATGGGAGCATGGGCCTGCAAGCCTTCTTCCATCAATTGGGCAGAATTTGGGGGCACACTGGGGAAGGTAGTTTAAGATACTGTTTTATACTATATATGGGTTTTTTTTTTAAATATAACAAAATTTGCTTAAAGGTAGAATGGTAGAAGCTACAACTTTTGAATGATCTAATGGACTGCTACTGGCTTTCATAGGTACAGACCTCCAACATTTCATGTCCAAGCATGGTACGATGAAGTGAGAGATTTCACGTATCCCCATCCTCATGAATGCAACCCATACTGTCCTTACAAATGCTCTGGTCCTGTTTGTACGCATTACACACAGGTATGTAGGTGGGTTTGGTTTTTGTCAGCTATGGAATAGAGCAGTCAAGACCTCCAGTTGGTTTGCTGTATGGCATGTAGAACATACTAATTTTGCAGTGTATACCATAGCACTAAAGCACAAAAGGGGCTTGTTATTAGACTCCCTAGTTACAAGCCTTGGGTATTGGTGACATAGAGTAGTGTTGTCATACAAATCTTTAGATTTCATCCTCATAATTATCACTTCCTTGACAGGATTAAGGAAAAAGCTCACAAAACTCAGTACTGAGTGTTACTGCTCAGTGCACTTTGTATAATCTAGTCTCTGTGCTGTTATGCTGGTAGTCCTTTCTGTAATATGCTGAAGAAACAGCACATTTAAAAAAAAAAAGGTTTTCTTAGGTGAATTCCTCAGATCAACAAGAGTTTTTAACATGTTGCTTTAACTTCAGCAAGATTTTGAAATTGCATAAGAACAAATTTATTTGTACTTCTGAAATCTGTGTATCTAGCCTGAATTTTTCCAGAGGGGAACCAGTCATGTTTTCAGTGAATGGAAAATAAGTGATCCTCAGATTATACTAAATTCCATGTATAATATTCAATATAATATTAGAAAACTTAAAAAAGATTACTTTTTAAACATTTATTTTGTTTGTTTACTAGCACAATTTACAATTGTATCTAATTTTAAGACAGAATTACCTCAATATTTTTACTCACCATTTTTGTAAAAATACCTATAATTACACTTATCCATTACATGCGAGATCTACAATACATATATTTAGTTCTTGGTGGTACTAATTCTTCACAGTACCTAGCTCTTTCAACTCCTAAATCCTTTTGGAACTACACAGTTGGCTTATCTTGAATTAATACAAGTTTAGCACCTGTCATATTTTTCTAATTTGAACGTTCCAGCCTTTGTCATTCAGATTATTTTGAGATCTGCAATGAAAATGGTTTCAACAGATGAATAAAGGAGCACAGCCACCTTAGATTGCAATGACATGAAAGCATATTCATTTAAAATCCATGACTTGAGTCTTTTCGGTGTATGAGTTGTCTTGTGAATACTTTTACCATTTATGTTACCTCCTTTCACTGCTGACAAATATCTATTCTCTCAGCCTAACCAATCTAAACCCCTCTGGGTCCTTAGGTTGTGCTGAGAACTCCAGAGCACAGGAACCTAACTTCTTCTAACTCACGATTATCTATTAGTTGTAATTCCAAGAATCAGTTCTTCAGATCATGTTTTGTAAACATTTTGCTACACTTTCAAATACATGCTTAGACCATTTATATAAAATGAGAGCCATATCTTTTGTGTCAAGGTAAAGCTTTTGTTTCTACTATGGATATAACCAAATGGCCTTTTGACAGTTGTAATTAGGTCACTTCAACCCATTTATAACAGAGGGAATATAACATCACTTTTGTGATTTGGGTTTTATATGTTGAAGTTTGGAGACAGTTTTGATTTTATGTTAATCAGCTTTGGTTTTCACATGCCTTTCTCTTTCCTTTTCCATAGGTTGTTTGGGCTACAAGTAGCAGAATCGGTTGTGCAATTAATTTGTGTCATAACATGAACATCTGGGGACAGATTTGGCCAAAAGCAGTCTATCTTGTATGCAATTATTCTCCTAAGTAAGTAGGCTGACACACAATAATATCTTGAGTGGGCAAGATACTTTATAATAATCCAGGAAATAATCTGAAAGGAAATCAGTCTGGGTTTTCTATTTTTTGTACTATTACAAAGTAGAGCATTGTTCCCAAGGCAGCCTTTGGCTGCACAAATACTCTTGTGATTTTCTAGAGCTTCAGTTTTCTGGCCTGTGTTTTAGCATACAACATCAGAGATCTTTGTTGTAGTGTGGTATTTGTCTGAAAAATAAATGTATCTCCCCATTGTGACTTTAAGGAATGTGTAACATGAAGCCCATGGTTAAGATAAAATTCTATAGAATATTCCATTTAGGAGACCGGAGCCTGTTCTCATGTAATTGAGGAATTTAGTCTTACAGTGCCATGCCAATCTGAAAAGATCTTACAGCAGCTTACGGCAATACTTCATTTTTTTCTTCATGAACTTTTCAATTACTTCCTGTGCATTTGGTATATCAAAACAATGTTATGGTCTAAGTGTTTGCTGCTTTTCATCATTTATTTGTCCACATATTAAATGCTGTTTAATGTTAAAATGTTCATTTATTAAGGCATGTTTTGCTAATTTTTTTTTTTTTTGGTGTAAAGGGGTAACTGGTGGGGTCATGCTCCTTATAAACCTGGCCGCCCTTGTTCCGCATGTCCTCCTAGTTTTGGAGGAGGTTGCAGAGAAAATCTTTGTTACAGAGGTATGTACTATTTCAATAGTATAAGCGGGCAGAGAAATGTAACCTTCCTTTTGCTTTCTTTCCTCATTATGCTTCAACATAGTGGAATAGAATATGTTATGCATGTGCCCAAAGACCTAGTAGGGGCCTACTTTACTATGATGAATGAGGTCATGTACTTATGATACGTGAGGCCGAGCCTCACCAGAGGCAGTGGAGTGTACTGAACTCCCGCTGATTTAAGTGCTGATTGAGGGCTTTTAGTACACAGAGTTGTAGACTGTCGCTGTGTGCTATTTTAATGCCTTTCTGTAATTATAGTGGAAGTCTATGCAGTTATTTGTTTATAGGGAAACATGTTATCTCAGTGACATAGCCATGTGCATTGCTATAAGAAAAATCAAGAACAAGACTAGAAGACATCAGTAATTAAACAAAATGTCAGCTAGGATGATTATTAACTTCTTACAATTTTCATAATGCTATTCATATTTTATAGTATTTAAACAGCATATTATGAAGCTGCTATTTCTTTTCGTTTTACTCTGTGTACAAGTAATTTAGCAATATTTGTTAGTAACTTGTGAAAGTTATTCATCTATTCACATGGACCATAAAAGCTGCACCAGTGTGCCCAAATACCTTCCTTATGAGTTCTTGCTTAAGTAAGAAATGTAGATTCAGTGATGAGTATTTCAAAATTATTTTCATTATGTATGAATAGAAGGGCCTCGTTTCAGGTGTACGTTTTTATGAAATTGTCTTCTTTAATTACAAGTTATCTATGAACTTGCTAAAACTCTTCCAATGTACAAGAGAAATATCACCTTTGTTCTATTGGTTTTCTGATGGCATAAAGAAGATGCTAAACCAGGAGTGTTAAGAGCACTTTCATACCTCAGTTGTGCTGCCTGTGCTAGAAAAATTCTACCTTTTCTCAGAATCAGAAAGATACTTGAGATGTATTATTAAGCTTGAGGTCTTCATCTTATGAAGCAGTGGAAAATTTTCCTTCCTTTCTTGCTTGTATTCATCCGCCATTTTGTGAGAACAAAGCCATGTTACCAAAACATGGTAAGGGATTTACATTCCACAAACGCTGAATTTTTTTGTCTGAGAGATTTTTTTTCCCTTGTTTTCTGAAACAGAGGATTCAGAAAGGCCTTATTCTCCCCACGAACCAGAAGAGGAAACCAATGAGATTGAACGGCAGCGATCCAAAGCCCAGGACGCAGCGGCGCAAAACCGGCCAAGAAGTCATTCACCTTCAGGCTCCACAGGCAATGATGACAGTGAGAAAAATGAAGTAATAAGCACACAGCAAATGTGTAAGGAATTTACCTGATTTTCAAGTGGTCAACAAATTTGAATTATAGAGTATCAAATTCATTGCAGTGAAATTGCTTTTTGCTTCTTTTAGCTCAGATCGTTTCATGTGAAGTAAGGCTAAGAGATCAGTGCAAAGGAACAACTTGCAATAGGTATGGTAAATTTTACATTTGTCATTCTGAGATTATTATAAAAGGCTATATTTGTATGTGAGCTGGAATATTCTCCCTTTTTGTAATCCCAGGATTTAAGACCAAGTTGTATTTTATTTTATTAGGTATGAATGTCCTGCTGGCTGTTTGGATAGCAAAGCCAAAGTTATTGGAAGTGTACATTATGAAATGGTAAACATTTTAAAATGAGATTTTGTACCAGTAGATTGTTTAATGAAATGTCTTTTCTGTTGGAATACTAGTTAAAATCATATTAAGAATGGATTTTTAAGAAATCAATATTCACCAAAAATAAAAGCCTACACCAAATGTTTAAGATAGCATCAGACGTTCTAAGTTTGCATCTGCTATTCTGCATGTACTGTCCAAATGTACTTCATATCTCTTATACATGCACAGAAATAGAATTTTTGTGTCCACATATTTGGGTGTAAATATGTGAAGGTGTGACTTAAGGAGAAATACAGAAATTTGTGGGTGTACTCATATGAATTGTTTCAGTAAGGCAGGCCTACTTGTGTAATCAGACGTTCTAAGTTTGCATCTGCTATTCTGCATGTACTGTCCAAATGTACTTCATATCTCTTATACATGCACAGAAATAGAATTTTTGTGTCCACATATTTGGGTGTAAATATGTGAAGGTGTGACTTAAGGAGAAATACAGAAATTTGTGGGTGTACTCATATGAATTGTTTCAGTAAGGCAGGCCTACTTGTGTAAACTTAATGCTAGCTGAAAATATGTAATTTACTCTGTAGAACTGAAAAACAGTATAGGAAATAACAGGTACTGTGAACAAGTATACTGTGAGTATAGTTTGTTTCTGAGTAAGGCAAAGTGGTGCTTTCTTCATTTGAAATAATACCTGCATAGAACACATCAAACTCAATAGATTACCTACCAAGTTTTTAATGACACATTGTAATTAAAACCTGATTTTTTCACAAATAAATTAAAATGTGAAATAGTGGCTTTGTCTGACATGGAACTGCTTTTCCTGCTCTGTTTTTCAGCAATCCAGTATTTGTAAAGCTGCCATACATTATGGCATCCTAGACAATGAAGGTGGTTGGGTTGATGTCACTAGGCAAGGAAGGAAAAATTACTTTATCAAGTCTTACAGAAATGGCATTCAGTCAATTGGGTAAGTTTTCTTAAAATTGAAATGTATGGAAAGTTTTCACCTGTTTCTTTTTATTTCATACAAAATATATCACAATAATAACATTTTGTTCATAGTTTTTATCATAAAGAATATGAAAATGCTATAAAAAGGCATGCGGATATACAGGTATTGTATCCATTCTGAAACTTTAGCCAGTGTATAATGGTGCACAGAAAAGTGATACAATAATGATGTGAAAGAAGGTGAAATAATTTACAAAATCACATGGGCAGTAAGTTAGTATTTGTAGTTAAATAATCTCAATATTTGGAGTATTCAGTTAATTCGTTTGTAAGTGTATATATTTATTGTAGAAAACTAGTACATACTGGCACTGAACTAGATTGTTTTACATGTTTTGTACAAAGCTAGTAGTATTTCCAGGGTTGGCCCATGGACACAGTAATCTATGACAACTAACAAGACTATAATCTTTCAAGTTTGTGTTTGGAAGTGACCCTCTTGTACTGTGCATATGAACAATATGAACCAAGAAGAAAATGCACCTCTTCCTATATGTTTGATAGTTTCATCACAGTTCCGCAAGTTACGTATGATATTTTGCGCCAATATTTTGCACAATTTCTGCATTGACCAGTGATGGAATAATATCGCATACTGTGGAAGTGTCATTTGGAGGTGTACTACACTGTTCAGGTGCTTGCCCTAAGACTGGTATGTGAAAACAGGTCCAAGTACTTGTTGACATGCTAAAAGAAAAACCAGAAAAACAGTGCATAAAAGTGGAGAATACTTGGCTGTTTCCATATGTAATTATCCAATGATAGGACATCATCGATATTAGTATGTTTGAATCTAAGATATTATTAGTATTTGCAAATTACTCTTCACTACATCTTAATGTGTTCTGCAGAGATGTACATTGCTGTCCTTATTTCTGTCTATAGTTAGTATATGTGTAATAGTAGTATGTGTGTAACAGTTAATGTGTGAGTAATATCAAACTGAAAGAAAACAGAATTTTGCTGAGTGATATATTTGGCTCAGGTGTGAACCCGAGGGTAAGGAGATAGGTAATCGTTAGGGGCTGTGCTCTCACTCTGTGATGTGCAAACAAATGCCACATGCTATGACACCTTTCATAATTTCTCTTTTGAACAGATTTACCTAATCCAGGATAGAGAGAAACACTGACCAGGTAGACTAAATTCAGTGGCCTGTAATTTGGGCTACCTGGGTGGCACTTAAGGCATCGATAGCAATGTGTTTCTTTGGGTCATCCGATGATCTAACTTTTTGGTTTAAGTTACCCCCCGTAAAAATGAAGATACAGACAAATAACTCTTTTTTAAATGCTTTGAGACAGAGAGAAGTAAATCTTGATTGTATCAATACTAACATATTAGGAGCCAGCTTTCTTACAAATTTAGGAGTAGTTAAACTGTAGAAAATCTTCAAACTGGAAAGAATTGATTGCCCATCACTTGAAATCTCTGTGTTTCTATGCCATCTGAGACTAAACTGTGTGAGTGTCCAGTCTACAGAGTGTGTTTAGCACCTGTCCTCTGAGAATCAGAACTCAGAGCGAGGTATTAACAGTTGGTTTTGTTTGCTGTGAGCATGGATAATCGTATCATTGCTGAACAGTAATGGCCATTTTGGTTTTGGTTTTGTGATTCAGATGTTGTAAAAAAAATTTAGATGCCTTATAGATAAAAGACTGTTAAAGGACCAAATCTATACCTTCCTATCTACAAGTATATTTTAGGAAACTCCTGCCGCTATGTGTGCGTGCAGATGACATAATTCTTCATTAATGTCCTATAGTATTTAGGACATCACCTTTTAGAGTGAATTTACAAAATATTGTGATCAGGCATCAGCTTTATAAGTCAGTCTATAAATCAAAGTCTTTGGGATAAATAAAGATGATTTACCAAAGTTTCAACCTTCAAAAGGCCCATCAATAAGGCTGGGGATACCTTGCAGCTACCTGACTCTCACCAGTGTCTCTAGATGGAGCCTTGCATAAACTACGTTTCATCTGTTCAGTGAATAGATGAAATGAGGTGGATCTCACCTCTAGTGCATATTGCAAAACAGAAAGGCAGAAAAGGGAATGTCAGTGCAACACACAGCAAATTTCCTAATCTTCAGCTCCTTTGATTTATAATCAGGATTGCTAATACAGATTTTTTTTCAACTGTTCCATTTTCTTAGTATAGAATACCATTTTTAACAATATCTCAGCAAGTTAATCAACAATAGAATACAGTGAACTATTCCCACATAAGTGTTTGACAATGCCAGGGCAACAGAAGTATGAGCTAACTCCGTGAAAGCAAATTGGAATCCAATAAATGAGCAAATGTGAAATTCGTGGGCCATACAACTAAATAAACCAATGCAAGCAAACAGTTTCTGAATACAAATCGCAGTGCTATGGAGCACACAGGAGTAATTTGCTCCAAAGGTGAATAGAGAATGATTTTCTTTTTTTTTTTTTTAAAATAATAACTAACTTTATGGGTGCCAAAAGCATCATCAGCTTCTTTGTTACAGATGAAAAATGTTAGAATCAGAGGCATATCCAATGACTTAAAAGAGGAGTAAAAGAGGAGTAAAATAGGATATAAAGAGAAGTAAAATAGAAGTGTTTATCAATTGTGATGTAAGAACAGAATGTATATACCTGACTTTATATAACAACAGGAAACAGATACATCTGAGTACCATAAGATTACTGAGAAAAACAGACTGTTACGTTATACTGGGTTTATAGTGATACTGGTGATAATTTAACATAGGCACAAGATCCAAAAGTAAAATTTAATGAAATTTTTCAAAAAGGCTGCCAGGAGAAACTCTTTTCAGTGTTGGAGCTGTTTGTAGGAATGAACCTTTGGGGAGAAGTGGATGATCTCTTCTGGTAGATGGATGCTTCTGGGCAATTCTCAGTCACAGATTTTGGTTGCTACATTTTGAGGGACAAATAAATTGCATAATTTGTTCCTAGCACACTTATTCTCTTAGCAAATTAAAATATTGAAAGAATTTAACATGTATTCCTGGTTTTCAAACAGATTCACTGGGAGTACCAACTAAATGTGTCATTGCAATAAATAGATTCACAACTGGGGAGGGGGGGTGCAGTGAGTAAAAATTGATTGGCGACAATGTCTTGAGTTTTTTTCTAGATTCTCTAATAACAATTCTAGCTAGAAGAAATCACTGAGAGATATTATTTATTGACTATTTCTATTATTTCTTTTTCAGAAAATACCAGTCTGCTAACTCCTTCACTGTCTCTAAAGTAACAGGTTAGCATTTATTTCTTATAAACTCAGTACTACTTTGAGTTATGTTTTTTTCTAAATAGCACACATTTATTCATTTCTGTTTTACTTTCTTCAGTTCAAGCTATCACCTGTGAAACAACAGTGGAACAATTGTGCCCATTTCAAAAACCAGCCTCACACTGCCCAAGGTAAAATTCTTTGAGTCTTATTAATTCAAAGTGCTGCCATATTTTCTGTCAGTTACTAATTATCTATAGTTGTCATTGATAAAGGTGACAACAGTAGCTGTAAAAGTGAAGCCAGAAACGATTTACCGGTATTTTAGTCTTTGGTCTAAGGTAGGTAAAGATGATCTACAGGCTTTTACATTAGGAGAATCTCACTTTCTTTTGCCCATAAAGATCTTTCTTTGGTCCTTTGGCAAATCTTAGTGAAATCATTGTTGGTTAGACCAAAGAGTGCGAAGTAAAATGCATTTTTCTTTTTCATTGTCCACTATTAAATCTATGCACCTTGGGCAAAATACACTTTATTTCAGTTTATTTGCCTGTAAAACAGATACAATAAAAGGATACGATACAGATATTTATCACAGAAGTTACCAACTTGTTTGGGAGTTTTGGAGGATAGAGTGAGCAAATATGTTTGCAAAAAAATTGAAATATGTGTTGTTAAGGTAAGGTGTGGTCTGCAGGTCAGTTAACAGCTTTAAATGTATGTGCCATTTCTTTGAAGCCTACATTTTAACTCTTCGAAAGGAGCCTGTGCCACATTATCTTGAGGAAGGAAATCGGTAACAGTTCTTAAAACCATAGATGAGTCAAAGGTAAATACACTGTAGCATGATTTACCACAAGCTAAGCTGGAGATATCCACAGGATTACTTTCATAGCAATCCTACAGCCAATACAGGAAGCAAGTACAAAGCCAGAACTGCTAGGAAAACATCCCTTCATGTAGCACTTGGGTCTGTGGACTTGTTTGGTGTTTGGCTATGACTCCTGGCTTTCTAGCTGGAAGATGTGGAGCAGTAAGCGAAGGAGTGGAATGCAGGAATGGATGGGTACAATCTTATACTTCTATCTTTTTTCTTTTTTTCTTCATTATTAAAAACTAAAACTAGCTTCATTAAGAGAAAAATAGGGTCTGTTTTTAAGAAAATTTAAAAATAAAAATAAGGTTAAAAATGACTGATTAATTCTGATGCATCAACTTAAGGAACTTCACAACAGCAGTGATTCAGTCAAGATTCTCTGCATGCTCTTAATTCTGAAAATGTAGTCTCAGGAGTTACAAGCAATAATCAGCTAAGGCATTGATTGCACAACCTCATTTTTCCCTCTAATGCCCTAATCATAAATCAGCAGGTCTTCAAACGGCCTCTTTGACATCTTGCTCTCTTCAGACAAAAATCTCTTTCCTAGCTGCACCAGCCTGCTTTAATTACCCATCTGATAAGACTGTAGCATGCTGAAGTGGTGTGACATTCCGAATATCAATTAGAGCATGGATAGCATTGAGGAGAAGAATGCTTGCCCAGGGCTGCCCCATGTAGGGTGGCTCCAAAGCCATTAGGGCATGACCCATTTTTTAAATGCAACAGCTCAGAGTAGACATGGAGCTGACTGGCACTTCTTCCTTGTAGCGTATTGCAGTTACCAAACAATGTGCTTGACACCTTCTGTACTGCTGTTAGCTTCCCACATGGTTTTCCTGTGCGTTTTGGAGCTATAGCAGGCATGAATCACAGAGAGAGTTTTTCTCAAATGTTAACAAAATGCAGTTGAATACAGTCTTTGTTTCAGTAGCTTTCTGATCTCCTGGAATCAGCTAGGAATCTCATTACCTTCCAAAGTTTTTCATTTTAGCCACAGATGCCAAGTGCTCACCCTCATTATAAGTTGCTAAATCATAAATCATCAGCGTCATAGCAGGTCCTCATTCAGATATGCCTCTCCTGTGAAGGTATTCAACTGTACAGTTTGTATAGGATGCTATAGAAACAGATAATAATGTAAGAGTGAACAGTCTCTCTTCTCACTGGCTTTTCTACTGGCCTCACGTATGTCGAACAAGAACACCATCTGCTTATCCAAAGGGAAGACGACCAGACCAGTTGAAGTATGTTTTCAAGCACTTTGTTAAGAACCACAACTTACATCAGCAGTGCTTTCACCCGTTTGTATAGGATGCTATAGAAACAGATAATAATGTAAGAGTGAACAGTCTCTCTTCTCACTGGCTTTTCTACTGGCCTCACGTATGTCGAACAAGAACACCATCTGCTATCCAAAGGGGAAGACGACCAGACCAGTTGAAGTATGTTTTCAAGCACTTTGTTAAGAACCACAACTTACATCAGCAGTGCTTTCACCCGTATTGTCGAAGCCTCAAAAACTGACAGCCTTTTAGTATCAGTATGGACCCATATGTACGCATCATCAAATTGATTTATACTCAACAATGCTGATGTTGAATATGATATAGTAATACTCTGATATCATTCTTCCTAACTGTGTGTGGTTTATTTTTGATATTTCAGGGTGTATTGTCCTCGCAACTGTATGCAGGCAAATCCACACTACGCTCGTGTAATTGGAACACAAATTTATTCTGATGTAAGTATAATTTGCATTGCATTATATAATGAAATATAAAATCCTATGAAAAGCTATAATGTAAAGATAATAAGATATAATATAGATATCCAGTTTTCCTCCATATGCTGTTTTTTTGCACAGTTCTTTTTCAGAGGCTCCCATTTAAATTAGTAGTACTCAGCTGCTGAAGATACAGAAAGTTATTTGAAAACTCAGTGTAGACTTCAGTAGTCTCTGGACCCATATATTTTTATCATATCAAAATTCCCACCGATTTGTTCAGTATTGGCAGTGTATACTCATTTAAACCCTCGCTCTTTAGACCCTGATGCAACCATAACTTCTGTCAGATTAAACTAACCAAAAAAAATTATTCTGAAAATAAATGTCCACAGTCTCATTATTTTGGGTATTTCTTATCTGTGTAGATAGCTAAATATTTGCAGCAGGATTTTCATATATTTGTGTAAAGTATCCACATTGTGGTATTATTTTAACATACTGATATTGTTTCTTTTTTTGTCATTCTGTTTCCTAGTCAACTTTTTTTTCCTGTCTTTTCTGCATCATGTTTAGTTCTGAAGTGGGTGGAAATAATGAAAAGAAAATTCTTTTTTATGCCTCTCCTTTGTCATCTCTCTATGGAGAAGCCAGGATGTAGTGGCAGAGAAAGCAGTTCACATTTTTGCCAGTAAACTGTGTGTTTTAACTGTCTTTTAGCTGTGTAAGGAATAGTATGGCAACCAGCTGGGTCAGATGATGATTTTCACTACTTGCCAGCACTTTGAAATGTGTGAAAATAATATGCAAATATTTATTCACTGTTATTTTGAAACTGATGAATGTCCATTAGATTACCTGAGTAACTTGTCCTGAAAACACTCTTGTCCTTGACTAGCGTTACATATGTGAGAAGTACTTCCAATTCAGGAAGTAAATTGATTTGTGCATGTGGAACTGGGTCCTTAATGTGTATAAGAGGGGCAGTGAAAATAGATTCAGTGAAAGTCCATTTTGTGGAAGACGATTTTCTTTCAGTCCTGTGGTTGCAATCAAAGGTTACAGCCAAAGTTTCCCAGTGAGTTAGAAAAGACTTTGTTGTAGGAGAAAGAAGGCCTGTTTCTATTTAACTTACACAGCAGAACATCTCAGAATATGTATTTACTTTGGTTGGAGAAGTCCCAGATTACTTTAATTAGTATTATAGAGTTATGCTTTAAAATTATTTTAGATGTACTATCTCATTATTCATCTCCATTGTATAGAAATGTGTGCAGCCATACTGCTTTTAGGAAAAAATGGACATAAATACAGGTAAGAAACCAGGGATGGGAGTCTTCTTATCAACTTCAGATGCTGTCAGGGAAGATATCTACACTGAAGGTGCTCTTCTAGGTTATGTTTATAGTAGTTTGTAGTACATACAGTATAGTGGTAAAGGAGATAAATAGGCATCTGTAGAACAGAATTCATTTGACCTTTTTGGAGTGTCTACCTCAGTATGAGATGAATTGCCTAATAGAGATGTTTATTCCTCTCCATTTCCTACAGAAGTGTCCTAGGGCACCTAGCGCAGATATAGACAGATGTGTCTTACCTATATTTGTATAGATGTTCCCATCGATGGTATCAGCATTATGCAATTTTCTACAATGTTCTTTTGTTGCTAACATTTAAATTATTTTAAAGTCAAGATACTTTTAATTGAAATTTTCACTAAATAATATGATTTGGTATTTTTTGCATTATAATTTATTACTGAACTAGTTTCAGGCAAAGTATTTATAGAGAATAATCTATTTAATAAGTGTGTCCTCTTTGCAGTTTTTCATGTATTCACAGACAGATTTGTTCATAGATATAGAGAATTCATTTGCCCACTTGTCATAGCAAATGTATTTGAAATTGCAGTCCATGATCTACTTGGTTGATTCCACAAAACAGATGGTTTTTTGTGACATTCCTGGGAATTCTTTTGTTTCAAAAATGCATATATATGTATGTGGATGTATGCATATATGCACATGACTATTTATTTACATTAGTGCTTAGGCCACTTGCATTCAGTAAATGAAGAAGATTTTGCAAAGTTATTAAGAGAAAAAGCAAATAACATTAATAGAAGTCACTAATGCAAAAAGATATGTTTAAAAGACCATTTTTGTAGTATTCATGAGAATCTAGTTAAACTTTTCCTTTTCTGGCTTTGGTCTGATCAGACATTCATTCTTAAACTCATTTCATATTTTACGGCGACTTCTTTTCTTCCCTGTTCCTGAGAAGGGTTGTTCTCTGGTTTATCAGTAGTGTCCCACAGAATTTTTACCCTTTTTTTTCTCCCATTCTTTTTTTCCTTTGACATTGCAATGACTGTCCCTAACTCGACTGAAACAAAACCCCCCATTATTTCATCCTCCATTCTTCCAGTCTGCTAGCTATTGTCTCTTTGTCTGTGGCAGATAAATCACAGCCATGGTTCATATAGCCAGCATCTATAAACTTATGTGTGTGGGGAGTTTTCATGTAATACCCATCCCCCTGTGCTCTATACCTTCTATTTATTTAGTTGATTTCCCTTTGTTTCACTTGTCTTGAGGTAGATTGCAAGCTCTTTAAAACAAAAGTATCTCTTATTCTGCGTTTATGGTACAATTAGTTTCTTTTCTGAATAGAGCTATTATGGTATGAGTAAGAACTGTAGTATTTGTTGTTTTCAGCAGACAGAAGTACAAATTACTCATTCTGCATATGGCCGGAACACATTGCCACCTTTGTGCTTGGTGTCTCTGCTGACCCACTGCTAAGAGTTTCCACATGGCAATGCTTTGTCTTTTTGGGAGACCAGGAAAAAAAGAAAGTTTCCTCCTCTCTTGTGCTGAAGAGTTGGTTCCACCTTTCAACTTTGGTTAATCCATTTTGTCTAAAACTTTTTGAATCTTAGTTCTGGAATTTCAGAATCGTGTCATGTTGACAAGCATTTTAACAATATCTGTATTTTTAAAGCACTTTTCAATATAACCTCACTTGTGAAATAAAATAAAAACCTTCCCAAGAACTGAATCATGTCAGGCCCGATGTGATTGTCTGAACTCTGTTGGAGATGATCTTGCAGCACCTGCCTGTACAGAGATTGTCCTTTGCTGTTGCTGTTAGTCCCTGGATTATCAAGGTACCAAAATAACAAACATTTTCATAGAGAGAAGGAGAAGCTACAATAGTTCAGCTGAAAATTCTTTCACTTGCAGATTTTTTTGGTAAAATTTTATTTTAATGGACACACCTTAGACGTGTATATGGTAGAAGTTCTTAACCACATTGCAGTTGCCTTATAAGAATTTCTAAAGAGATTAAGCTTTATATTTATCCTGTTCTTTTCACAGTAGGCAACATTTTCCCCAAGACAATCTTTTACCAGTAGTGACTCTACATTATGGGTGTTGATTGAGCAATTCTACAAAAAAATTGAGCCTCCTTTTGGGGCCTAGAGATCAACAAAGGTCTTTTATCTAAAAAAATTGATGGAGTTGTATAATTTCATACCATCTGAGGACTTTGGCTGTATTAATTTTTGTTTCATTAACCATATAGGAAATGTTTCCCTAATACTTGTGCAAAAGTATTCATAATTCTCTGCTGTGGTGAAACATAAATAATATAACGTAAAAAAACTATCAAATAGTTCTGTAGTCCTGTGATGGTGAGGGAGAGACGCCTGTGGTTAAAATGCCTTTGCAGATTACTGCTATGCTGTGGTAGATATTTGGTATTTTGCTGAGTAGCTGAAGAAGGAAAATAATTAAGCGGCTTGGTATTGAGATTCTATGACCTGTTAAATACTAACAAATTTCAGAGGGTTCACAGCACAGCAATAAAGCAGGGTCATATAATGCTGTATTAAATGTTTATGTTAACTTAAAAATACTGCTTTATATATCCTTTGGAGTGAGTTCATCACAATTAAAGAAACAAACCCAGATCTGTGATGAAGACTTCCAGAAAGTGGCATAAGGCTACTAATGTAAAATACCAATAATATGCTGAAATTTGTGATAGACCAAAGTGTGAAATTATGTTCTGCTTAAATTAACAGGAGGTTCACCTTAACAGTTCAAGGAAGTGTGATCAGGATGACATAATATTATTAAGTATAGGAAATATTATGGCATCAGTACTGGAATCTGATTCCATTTAGATGAAGATTGCCAAGCCAATGAGAAGTTCTTGAAAGCTGAAAGCAGATAATACTTTCTAAAAAAAAATTACATTCTGTATATATTGATAAAACTATATGCATTTATTCATCTGTATTCTTATGAGCTAATTCATAATTATAAATTTATACTCATTTAATTGTTCATATATTCAAAAAGTATGCACATTTGTTCTCCAATCTCATCTGGAAAGCAGCATCAGAATAGCAGTTCATTTTTCATCTGAAAATAGCCTCTGAGTTGGCTTCATCAGCCCCATTCTTCTGACCTCTCCTTTTTCAGATATCCCATATAAGTGTCTGGCCTTTAGCTTTAAAATGTTGTGCATTAGCCTAGCCGTACTTCATTGATCCAGTAACTAATTGTGGTACCAACCCTAACAATGACCCCATCCATTACTGGAAATAGTTTCCAACAAGTAGTCAGCTGCTTCTGTCAAAATCTCCATCCCTTGACTTTTCCTTTCTTTTTCACTTGACTAGAAACTTCCAAACAACATTGGAACAGCCAGGAGCTTAGCTACCCTCAAATGTAATGATGAAGGTATCTACCTATATAATGACATACACAAAGTGTAGCCTTTTGGTTACTATTACAGAGGTGACAAACATTGATCTTTCTTTTCCCAAATTGTACCTCTAGCTTTTTTTATGTCTCCAATATGAACTGAAAACAACGTTGCTACTATATTATAGTACTAGTAATTAATAGTGTTTTAGTTCTTCACTGTAGTTAATTGCTTGTAAATCTCATCTTTTGTTTCTTAGATTGTAATCCTGTATTGCAGAGGCCATTTTCCTCCCTGTATATTTGAAATTGCACATGATCAATCTGATCTTAAGTGACTGTCATAGTATGAGTACATAAAGGATGCTATAATCCTAAAAATAAGGCGACTACTGGTGTTCAGGTTATAACAGAAGTCTTGTAGCCCTGGGAGGAGGAGAAAAAGGTAAAGAGGAGCATAAATGGCATCCCTTCTGGCATTTTCAAAAACTGCAGCCAGCAGTGTGAAGAGAAAAACTCTAAAGCGTCTTTGCAAAAGATTCTTTGCATAAACAATTTCAAATCTTTGCTCCTAGAAATATTGTAACATTAAAAGACAAACTATGTAACAGTGAAACTGGAAAGTTCTGTGCTTGGAATGAGAGTAGGAAAATCATTGCTCTTTTAAATTCCTGATTTTATATAGCATTGAGATTACAAAACGGCTATGGTAACAGATATAAATTATGCCAATTATAACTGAAAGAAATGCATTTCTTGTTTAAATAGTGGTCTGTGTAACCAGCTATTGATATTTGTATTGGCTAAGTTTTTAAGGTTGGTTGCAGAGAGACCTATTGCAGTGAACACTTTTTCCACAAAACAACTTGGCTTCAAGTAGAGATTCACTGTAGCTGGAGCTACACTTTGCTATGCTGTGTATTGAAGATTGGGACCTACATTCTGCAGTATCAAGGAAGTTTCATTCTTCTGGCAATTAATTTTTAAAATGCTGAAAGAGTAGTAGAGGACTGCAAGTGTAAATCAATTATTTAAATGAACATTATCAAGATTGTCACTGAGCAATCCTTCTGTGGATATTATTTATGCTACATAGGTTCATGAGAGGAATTAATGGCCAGAGAATGTAGGTTTCACTCAGATGAAACTGCTGTTAACTTCGCAGAGAATTTTGCCTGCGTAAAGTTTGTGGAATTAGACCCTGATTTAAAAATTCTTCTTTTGAAGCAATACCTCCTGACTCTATTTCCTCACTCAGAGTTAAGGAGCTAAAGCCATTAGTCTGCCATTAATCAACTGTCATAGCTAAGGGGTGATTTTAGACCTCTGTCTTCTGTTTGATGCTCAGATTATACCTTTAATCTAATTAGCTTTTAATATTTGCCTGTATCTGGATAGGAAATTGTGGTGTTCCCTTCGAATATGGATCATTTCACTGCTGTTTGACTTTTTGCACCTAGAGATGGAATTATTGCAGTCTATCCCTCACCTTTGGGATAGGACATCCTAGAAACATATGACTGCAGCGTGCCTTTGCTGTTCTACGGTTCCCCTGATTGGCTCTGGCTGGAAATTAAACTGAATCTCGTGATCTATAATAATTAACGGGACTAAGGTTTAAGTTTTACTACCTCTCTGCTGTTGAAGTGAAGACTGATAGAGCCTTTCATTTTGAAAGGCTCAAGAATTCAAACATGTATCCTGATCCTTGAACTGAAATAGCCTGAAATAACTGATTTTGGGATCATGCTGCAGGAGATCTTTGAAGAGGCAGTGTCTGTACTCCTATAAATTGGCCTAATTCCTATGAAACTGATTTAAACACTGTAAGATTAATAAACTTAGTCATGCAATAAATATAATTATTTTATGTTTCCTAGAACTTGGTTTAAATGTCTTTATTAGTTTTGTTCTAAACAATAGAAGGATGTTGTTGAAATAAAAGGATGACTGAAAACTAATCTTCTCCTCATTCTTTCTTAGATATCCAGTATCTGCCGGGCAGCAGTACATGCTGGTGTAGTCCGCAACCAGGGCGGTTATGTTGATGTTATGCCAGTAGACAAAAGAAAGGTGTACGTTGCTTCCTTTCAAAATGGGATATATTCAGAAAGGTACAGAGCCCAGTTTCAAAGATTACACTTTACCCTTCACCTCGATAAGATTTACAAAGTCTTGCATTGTGTCTGTACCTGGGGCAGTGCTAGAAACCAAACAAATAGGCCAACATGGGTGATTTACAGAGCTTGTGTAACAGCTGTGGTGACTTTGGAGAAGCTGTGGTACCAGAGCTGCCTGCCTCCTCTAAGCTCATAAATCATTACTCTAAAAAGCTGCTTATGAAATAAAATAACCCTCTTGTTTACTTTGCTGATTCTGTTGCACCTAACACAATATTTGATAAGAAAATTGCCTTTGCTTTCTTTGGGATTTTTTTTAAAATTAACATTAGTGATTTATTCTGTCCAAGTTAGAGGATCTGCAACAGACGGGTACTAGTAGCTGATGCAAGTTCATTGGTTCATGATGAAATGTTCATTACTGATTTACATGGTATTGAACCCGTGAGCCTGGATCATAAATAATATACACAAACATTAAAATTCACAATCAGTAAAACATATTTTTAATTTCTTTTTTTTTTAATGGTTTGACTTTTTTTAACTGTTTCTCTGAAAGACATGGAGATGCTGTGAAAGTTCATTTAGTTGTATTCAGTGTATTTGTGCGTTCTGTGATGACAATGCATGGCTGCATGTTGCAGATTAAATTTAATCCCAGAAGGAGTTCTTCAGGTTCTAAAGGAAGAAAGAGAAATTACCTTAAAAAAAAAATCTTGTACCACTTTTTTAGTCCTGTAAAGCTATGAAAGATTGTTACCTCTAAAACTATAGGCTTTCCAAGAAATTTGTGGGGGAAAAAAACTCCAAAAATTTCTGTAGAGAACTTTGAAGTAGGAAAAGATAGAGTATTTTTTTCTTATTTTTAATTGGGGGTGGGGGGATGTCTTGCCTCCTTCCCTCAAACCTTTCAACAAACCTGGAAACTTGTAAAATACAGATTTCCTTTGCTTAGTGGATGACTTCATTTACATATTCTTTGGCCTTTCCACATGACCATCCAGTTCTCTCAGAAAGAGTGCTTCCTCACTGACACTTCTATTCTCCATCTAAATCCCCTCATTGAATAGAGATGTAGCCGGGAAAAGTGTTGCAAATTTAATCATTATTTGTACTTTACTGTCTTGGTAAAGTTTGGAAGGTCAGTGGTTTGGAGAACAGTCCCATGCAAGTTTTCTGTGAAGCAGGAGATGGATTGTAACGCCGTTGCAGGCAACCTGTTTCATTGTGCCCTTCCTTACTTTCACCTCCATTTCCCTTTCCTTCCCAGATATGCCTCAGAAAGGGTTTGCAAAAGAGAAAACAATGGGACCATTAAATATGACATGCTAGTTCAGTTTATAAGACAAAAATATTTATTCTAACAAAATTTCATTTGCAGTTGGGTATTTTTGTTTCATTTCTTTTGAAGCCAGGTATTTATCCATTCAGAAGGCATTTCCTTTGTTTTTGTAAAATATTAATTATCTTTAGAAATCTGTTCTTCGGCATATAAGCAACTAATAAACAAGTGATCTCCTAGGTCTGCAAGTTCTATCCGAATATGGTTATTAGACTAGTGAGCATAAGATGCATGCTTTCTCTTTTTCCTAAAAATTTTTTTTAGTATTTTGCTTCAATAGAGATTTATTCTTTAAACCAGAATCCCTCATCGCAAAGGATTACTTGAATTTTTTTATGTTATGATTTGTTCCTAATAAGCTGCTTGGAAGAAACATTAATCTGAAATTTATGTAATTTTTATTTGTAACAGCTTTAAAAAAAAATCTTAGTTAAAGTTATGAGTAGTCACAGGAAGAGTTGCAGGATCCTAGAATTGTATTTAACAATTCAAAAAAGTTGTCATTGGAGTGTTGCAGTCTTAAAAATAACATCAGGAATGTTTTTATGTTTCAGTTTACAGAATCCTCCAGGAAGCAAGGCATTCAGACTATTTGCTGTTGTTTGAGTCTAGCAAGTAAGATGTAAAACAAGCAAGTGAAACCAGAGCACTTGGAAGAGAATAATAAAGGCCATTTCTTATAATTCCTAAAATCTGTATAAAGCTGTAACATTATTGTACAGAAGATGTATACTGCTTTCCACCAAAAAGTTTAAATTACATATATATCTTAATGAACAAAATCTGTAAAAGTAAACATGGGAGAAAAATTCATTTGAAAATCTATAATGATATATATCAATATTTTGAATCCTGTGTTAAATATTGCTATATTTTCTTAGCAGTTACTCCTATACAGTTAATTCAAAGCTCATAAATGTTCTTTGTTTTCTTCATCTGAATATATTATTGTATGGTGCTTTATATATGCCACTAACAGTAACCTTAAAACTATACCATAGGGAGGCCTGAGTTTTTATTTCCAATGTACATAAAAGAAGCCATCCCAATAATTCAATATAATAAATCATGCCTTAAAGTAAAATAAAAAAATATATAACTTTTTGATGATTTACAGTAGCATTAGCCATGCAAGCATAAATGAAGAGCTAGACTGTTTTCAGTTTCACACTAATCATAAGTACAAATACCTATTTTGGAGTAAAATGGAAAGTGTAAAATATAGGGAAGTCCTGGGTCACATTAGCATGTTTTCCTCTAAAGAAATATTTTTAAGAGACTGGGCCATTCATGTTTATTTTTTCTTAAATATGTTAATAAATAAAATGTTTATTGGATGCTGCTAAGCTCTTTAGTTCGAATAACCAATTCATTATGGCCCAGTCCTTCACAGATGTGCAGCTATCTTGGGATGGGTGAGTGAGAGATAGACATACATAACTTGAACGATCTGAGAAAATTTTCATATTGAGAAGTGGAGTTACCTGAAATTAAGGAATAAGCCATCAGTTCTGCAATGCAGCTCTGCACACATACATGCTTTATTTTTGCCATGTGACTCCTTCAATTTACCTGAATTGGGTTTCAGCAAAAATGTAGAATTGTACACATACATAAAAATTCGCAAGCTTGAGGCCTTAAGCTGTGCATGGTATCCGTATACTATACATTAATATGAGGGTAAATGTTCAAGAAAATCTTAAAGAAAATGGTAACAAAGGCTAACCTTGCTCCTCATGACCTGGCAAATACTCCTGCAGGCCAGGAAGTATAGTGGTACGGAGCCCAGTGACGACTATGTCATTTGTTGCTTCACCATTTTTAAAAATTCATTTATGGTGAATAGCCTTGTGCATTAATTTTACCATATTATGGTATATGAAGAACATGTAGTGGTGGTACTATGTTTCTTTCTATGAAAAGTGTATTGGTGCTTTAAGACTGAAAAGCTGTTAAACTTTATTTTTGGTATTTTTTGTTTCTGTTGTTGAATTTATTTCCTTCAAACTTGTAAACTTATTCATATTCTTCATATTTCAGAATACTATATTCTGCCTTCTGTTTTGCTACATGTACTACCTCATGTAGTTAGGCAAGCTTTGTTAGTTTTTTTAATCTGTTTTGAATAAAATTAATTTACATAGTAAGAGTACCTTTGACAGCCTTTATTTTTGGATTGTTTGACCTGCCTCTAGAAGAAAAAAATAACAGCCACCCAAAATTTACTTTTTTTTTTTTCTGACCTAAACATTGCAAGTGTAGGACCAAGCAGTAGACATAGTCTGAGGTTCTAAAAGCTGTAAAGGCAATTTAGGCACACAACTTCCATTAATTGCATTGGAGTTTTATGGCTAAATCTTCTGGTCATTTTTTCAAGTTTTCACCAGGGTCTTTGGGAACAGATTGCTTTCTCATTTTAATGGGGAACTCTCAGGAAGTAATTATAAAAAAGCCACCACCTTTTATTCAGTCCAGCTCTTTGCTGTTGTGGTAAATGTTTCTAGTGCAAATGTTCCTAGCTACATTTGTTGGGAACAAGCAGGTTTTTATATTACGCATTCTTTTTTTGCATCATAGGACTAATGGTCAACTTGGGCGTTCCAGTTGGGAAATCTATTTAATTGATGAGGGAGACAAAGAGTCTTTGATGTATAACCCTTTTTTTTTTGCAGGTGGTGGCAGGGGGGCATTGAAAGAAGCTTTATATAGATTTTGCAATACTGGCATTAACCGTTTTTCAGAATTGAAACCAAAGTGCAAGTAGACTTTGACTATGATGGGACTCCAAGTCACTTAAAGGCTTGAGATAGACTTGCACCGCCTTTCCTTAAAAGCAACAAAGCAGTAACACAGAAAGGCCTTGCAATACCTACAGTTGGGGTTATCAGAGCATAAAATGGAGTAAGGCCACTTCTGAAATGAAGGACATGCAGAACTGCTGAGGGAGACATTTGAAACAAAACGGTGTGAATGCAACCATAGTGTCCCTTTCCACACAGGTGGGACGCTTTCTTGCAGACTGGCCTTGCCATCCAGCAGCTCTCCATGTCCCCTGCCTGGCCCATGGTCCCCAGCAGTTGCCTCGGGAGCCCATGGGAAGCCTGTTGGGTGCTGCAGAGCCGGGGCAGTGAGTTAGCTCTCTGCTCTGCTGACCAGGCAGTAGGGTGCACCCCTTTCTTTAGGCAGAGCAGAGCCTGAGGTGAGGAAGAAAACAAGACAGTCACACCTTCAGTCATAACCACAACTTCCTCACTTTGGGTAGATGGTTGATTGGAGTACCATGTGGAAACACAGTTGCCACACCAAATTTCTGCCTTTTTCCTTCAATTTTTTCCTGACATCTTTTTTGTTCTGCTGCGTACCTTTGCTTCCTCTCCTCTCTCTCATCTGTAAAGTCCCACCTACATTTTCTGGGAGTTCCTGTGCAAGGGGGCAGGGGTGGACCCTTGGTGCCATAACAACAAAGTTAGTGCTTGGTGGGAGGAGAAGTGAGGGCTACCTTCAACGTGTGTGAATGGTTGCTGTGAGCAGCTCTACTAACCAACACAGTGACAAGAAGAAAGAGAGGTAACTCTTTCTCCTCACATCTTCTCTTGCACAAATTTGAGAGTCCTGTTGCTTTTCCACATGCAATGATTCTATCCTATTATAAATATTCCAGCTAACGTCGGCTTTTTGAGAAAATCTCTTCTACATTTACAGTAAGTAATGAGTCAATGAGTAGACATTTCCAAGCAGTTACAGAGTGAGAGCTACACATTGGTATTTTTATCTGCACCAGCAGCAACTGTATGCCAGATGATCACAACTAATTCACAGAAAGCCCAAGTGAGTAACTAGCAGTATCAGAAAATTTGTTGTAGCCTAATGAAAAAATATAGAAGTCAAATTTTAAATTCTGAAGAATTGTTTGATTAACCAAACAGTTACAAAATTACATTCTAGACTTGAAATTAAAAAAAAAAAAAGGGCTAATCAATAAGAAAGTAAAGCTTAATTCATGCTATTCGTAATATTTAGCTTGCCTCCCAGGAAAGACCTATAAGTAGCCAACAAGAATTATTACAACTGATACATAACAATCCTCTGCCAAAAAAAAACCAAAAAACCAAGCCGGTTTAGTACGTTGATATCTGCCATTTGTAACTTTGAAAGGGCTAAAATATCAAGAAATGTAAGCCCACTAAGTGAAGTAGGCCCTTGAAAATGTATGTGAAGCAGCGAAGAATACATATGAACCTTTTCCCATGATCCTGTGGTATTTCCCATTATGACTTGCTCCATAAGGAATCTTTTCAAAAGAAAAGCATAGGAATCATTTGGAGAGGAGTCAAGTATTTGTCAAGCATAGTTCACTTGCCTGGTGAGCTTTTCAGTAAGGATCAATTGAGGCGTTTCTCTGCGATGCTGCATCCCTTCTAGCTGGAGTAAGTAATTTCATAACTAAACAAAAGTTAGTATGAAAGAAAGTGGTCAGACCCAAACAGATAATTCTTTAACAGTCTCTCACCATCTAGATAGCTATATGAGAATATGTTTGTTTTAGGGAACATGGGACCCATACTTGTGCCAGCAGGCAGCTCATAGTACTAGCTGGACATAAACTAAGGAAACTAAGAAACTTTTCCTAAACTTTGTGGATACTGAGGAATTTTAGAGAGTTTACAGACTTCCTTGTGTCTGATTTCTGCACAGGGGACAGTCTGATCTAGAAATTATACATAAAGTATTTTTGGAACCAAGCCTGAAACACAAGTTGGGATAACGTGTGTAAGTTTGCAGGTTTTTAACTGATGAAGTACTCTGTTTCAAGTTTTATGTAAATGTCAGACTATCAGCTGTCTATGGATTCTCAGCGGATTTAAAAGAAGAAAAGTAACATCAGCTTTTTTGTGTGTATTGATACGTATATTTAGGAAAATGCATGACACTTTACTTCATATGGCAGAGATGTAACCAAGTTACTCACATAAACAGTGTCTTCTGTGCGGCAATTGCTTTTGAAGTATGTTTTGAATTTGGCTTAAAACTCAGATAACCCAGCTTCCTGTGAATACACAAGGGAAGGTTTATTTCCTGCAATTTCTGTAGTCATACAAAGGGTCAGATTTAGAAATGTAAATATTTGGAAGTTACAAAGATTATTCATACCGTGCAATATTCTGTTTGGAAATTTATATAAATACTGTATGAAATACTGTACTGTCACACTTCTATGTCTTAAGGCTTTTTATAGCATCTGTGGAACTCCAGGGAATTACACAAGGAATGAAAAGCCTGAAGAGTTTTGTTTCATTCAGTGTATAATATGCATCTTACAGGGCTTTAGATATACAAATGATAGCATACATTAGTATTCAGAAAATTGCATATGATTTTATAAAGACATACACTGTGCGTATGGGAAAAGAAGCCATGCTGTCAGCCTTAGCTTTAGCCTGTCTTTGCTGTCAGGAATAAATGATGGAAACAGTATTTTAAATATGGTCACTATTGATATTATTGATACGATTGTTATTAAAAGAGAAGTCCTTGTCATGTACTAGGGGGCTGTTAGAATACAATAAAATGTGGTTCCTGCTCCATGTTAACATATGATGATGATGTGACACCTGAAATTTGCCATCAGCTGTTCAATGATCTGTGTTAAATGTCTTGTTCATCTTAGCCTGCTTGCCAGGAGACAGATGCCTACATCATTAAACCATCATAGCACTTTGCAAAAAGTACTAATAATGAGTCTTAAATTTTCAGAAGCTAGCAAAAGCCCCCCAGTCAGACCAGCTCAATATGATAAGGCACAGGAAAATACGAGAAACCGAAGGAGGCAAGTAAAGAACATGCAACCAAAACAGCCAGTCATGATGCTTCGTGTCTTACTATCCACATTGATTTCTGCAATAATTACCCTAGTTATTCAATTCAGTATCTGCCCCCAGTGCTGTATCCAATATCGGTTTTGTCTTTACTAACAATGGGGTGAGAGTCTGAAGGCAAGCAGCAAAGTTGTTGGTTAAGAACTGAGATACACTGGCCAAACAACATGAATAAGTTTGCAATACTGTATCTTTTAATAGGCACACAAAAGACTTCAGTTGCCAGTGGCAATAACTCTTGGGCTTTTAAATTAGCTAATTTTATTTAA